CTACGATTTTATCTGGTTATGATGTCGAAAATTGGTAAGCAAAAACTTTGTAAATATACGCTATAATTGAAGGTTTCCACGTCACAGTTAAGCGAAAATAATTTCGAAACAAAAAAAAAAACATAAACGCAACTTTTTATGCGTTATTACTTAGATATAGAAAAAAATTAACATAAGACTACCACTCCATGTATTTTTAATCGAACTTGTATCACCATAATTTTTGGAGAGTCAACAAAAAAAGTAAAAGTAGATCATAGTGCATAGAGGAAGGTTACCGAGATGAAACTTTAGAAGGATCCACGATGTCAGTTTTGGATATGAAAAAAATATTTTATAGTTAATTTATATTTTACTACTTGATTTACTATTAAAGGCGAAATTGCACAAAATAATGTTATCAAAAATCGCCAGAACAAATAACTCATAAAATGATCTCTTCGTGAAATAAACAATTCAAAACCTTCCTTTGTTAGTCGTCGTATTAATTGCGGCATCCAAGAGCTATCTTTAATGCTTCCGTAAAAGAAACTACACGCTACTACGAACACAAAACAACATAGAGCTTCGTGTTTTTCGACATAGCTATTGTTATGCAGTAATGATCATTTAATCAATAAATATTTTAAAATGTAATTTTAACCGATGATTGAAGAGTGGTGTTATTTTGCTTCCAACATTACTGCTTTCAATGAACCTAAGCCTAAATGACCTACCGCTACATTTCTTCATCTTATGATGATTTATTTCCCGCCATTATATAAATACATTCGGTCTTCGACAAACTTTTGGAAATTACCGATTTAGTATCTCGAGCTATATATTTACCTTGTTCCCGTTAGCAGTCGCGATCAGGTCATCCATAAGGAATTGTCCCCAGGCGGCCAATAAGCTGGTGACGTAATCATGTTCAGCTGGTTCAGTGAGTTGCGCGGCAGCTTGCACGGCGAGCGTGGGTTCCGGTAAATGCGGGGGAGACAACGGCTGAGATACACCTGGGAACAAGGATTAACTGATTTACTCAAAATTGATTGGTTACTGCGAGAAATGTACACTAAATCAGGCAGTGACTAAGACTAAGTATTATAAAAATGTTAGAAGAGCTGCGCATATTTTACTTTACAGCTACTTTTTTTAATGTCAATTAACTCCCAATACTTTGTTTTGTTTACTGGTCCTATCAATATCTTTTGGCTATTCTATTTTTATATTATTATTATACTAGCTGTAGCCCGCGACTCCGATGAAGAGGATCTTAATTAGTAGCCTATGTATTCTTCCAGGATATGTTCTACATTATGGCAAATTTCAGCAAGATCCATGCAGTCGTTCTGGAGATATTTTCTTACAAACATCCATCCATTTATATAAGCATTCGCTATTATTATATTGGTAAGATATTAAATAATAGTTCGAAATAGAGTAGAGGAGCATACATCTTGCATTTAGATTATACTAATCTAATCTTTAATGGTAGTTGTTCTAATTTTAAATAATTATTAAGATTTTATCGAAGCTTCGACTTAAATGGTACCGTCTATATCATAATTATGTTAATTTTATTGTACAACTTTACCATATCACATGATTTTGACTCAACCGTTCAACCTTTACTAATCTAAAATCATGTGATAACTTGATTTGTTTAATATGCTTAATCTAAACTTTGGCTTTTGGCATTATAATATAAGCTTTAAAAGTACACGTGGTTGCACATTTAGATAATGGAAATTTAATAGTTAAAATAGGCACTTAAGTAACGAACAGTTCCTGTATTATTAAGTGTTAAGTGCAGAAAACAATTAAGCTTTAATTAAGCCTTAACTTATTGAATAAGTAATGATTGTTCGTACGCTAAATTACTTCATAATACATGTAAGATAATATATTTGCATTTAATTTTGATTTTTTATATGAAATAAAGTTAAATATATTTTTTTTAATATAATAGAGCGATTTACTTTAAGTTTAACTTGAGTATGACACGAATTTTGTCTTTAAAATTGTTTACAAATTCATTTGACTTCGTGTCAATCTTAAAAAAATAACACAAGCGATTCAGCTAATTCTTATTAATTAAAATACACACATTTATATACATCCGTGTTTACTTAACACACTCAAGTGTGGTGTGTAATATAAGCTTTATTTGTTTAATTCGTTGCCAAGTTAGTAAACTTGCTTTGAAAAAGATGAGTTATTTAACTATAATTTTTAATATATTTCTACAAAATTTCATCTTAATATTTGTTTCAAATCACCTTTAAAAGTCTTTAATATCTGGATTAATCGCTTTGACTATAGACATGTGAATTTCCATTATCTTTGATACGATAAACACTCACATATAGTATCATCGTTATGATTTAGAATTTTAAGCTGTTTTATGGTTACATAGTTCGTCGTTTTAGTTACTTACCATCGGCATAGTTCGCAGGTAGCAACCTTAGGAAGACATCTCCTCTTCGACCCCATGGCCTGTGACGTACATTGTTGCACTCCCCACTAGCGCTACGGTATTTGCTAGGCGGACAGGGTGTCGTACTGATGTCATCTTCTGACGAACAGTTATACCTGTGAATCAAAAAACGTGTGCGTGTGTATATATTTAATATATTAACGTTCTTTTGTTTCCCTTCATGCAAATTTGAAAATTTCATTCATTACATTTTCTTCGGAACAAACGCAATAAAAAAGTGTTTAAGCTAACATTTAAGAATAAATTCAAAATAATAAAATTACGACGTGACGTCTGTTTTATATTTCACATGTGATGTTAAGTAACAAATTACCTGAGAAAAATGTTATTTTTGGCATGCTCTGATGATTCTAAATAAAAACTTTTTTTTAAACCAGCTACAATAAATCAGTTTTAAACAGTCTTCACTATATTTCACTAATTTCCCAGATATACTGCCATATGAATACATCATAAATTTCTCTTCTAACACCAAAAATATTAATGGATACTATTTAACATTACTACAAAAAAGGATAGTTGACTAAATCCTCTTTACATTCCTCAGACGATTTAAATGTTATGCAACGAAAGCGGAGCAAGATTTTTGAATAAATTAATGAAAGGTAAAAACTCATCACGTAAAAAACACTTTTTTTTTAGTACACTCTATAGGGTTGTCACAACTGTAAAATAAATATACAGACAAAATATATTTACATTCAAAATAATCTGAGTTCACTCATTGTCCTTAAATTAACTTTGTCTTGTGTTGTTTTGAATGATTCAAACAATTTGGTATTTTAGAAAGAAACGCCACCGACAAATTGTGTACAATAGAAAATCCTTTTTATAATTCTATCTTCACTTTAATCGGGTTACAAGTAATAAATGCTAATATGTTCTAAATTCATAAAATAGACTACTATCGTCAGCACTCAGTAAGTGATTAAGAGAGCCCTTAGTAGACTTAGAATAAGAAATTTACATTCAGGACTATTTAAGTATCGGTCATTAAACGGTTGTAAGTTTTGGTTAAAGTTTTAAACTTACACATCGTTAGCGCCCAAGTGGAACCTCCTTTCTAAGGCCAAGGCCTCACTAACAGTTCTTCGTAGGTCGCTGGGCACAGCTTGTATGTTGGTGTCTTCTATTCTGCTCTTTTGCGCTAATGTCACCGTACACGCAACGGCCAATAGTAACACACTACTACGATATCTGAAACAAAGAGATAAATGTCATAAAGTCATAGAGAAAAACATAGACAATAATCTATGTCAAAGAAATATTTGAGTTATAATGCTTTGGAATTTCTAAACGAGATGTTTTCAAAGTTTAATTTTTAATGAGAATTCAACTATAATTAAATCAAACTTGGTGTGAACCTTAACTTTATTCAAAAATACTTTTTTTTGTAAATTTACTAATATTTCTTTTAACATTCCAACTAAGCTGTAGGCTTGTGCTAGGATATGGTTTACGACAACAGTCGAATGGCGCGATTAGAACCCTCAACCTCGTGATCGGAAATCTGTACCCTTAATTATTAGGCTATTGACGCTTACGACGTACTACTTACTGACGCACTTTGTAATTTGAAATGAATGAATAAACTTCAGTAAACTTGATTATTGACCCGACTCTATAAAAACTAGTCGACCGCGATACCTTGACGAGGATTCCTAGTTCATTCCTATAAATTATTGATACTATACTAATTCAATGACAAAGGAAGGAAATCATTCTGTGATTTATTATAAAATGTATCCTTTATTCCTTATTTAAAACGTAACCATAATGCATTACTTAAAAAAATATGTTTCATAAAAAATAATTTTTGCCAGTAATGTCGACGTAACTTAATAATTTTAATATTCTCATATTACTTATATTTCTCTAAATATTAAAATGTTTTTGAATTGGATATATTTAATCTATATAGAGTAAAAAACTTTATGGTTGATTCAATTATCCCAAAAAAAAACCAATAGGATTTTTTTTTATCTGTGCATTAATTTTAACGCTAATAGGTAATTATTTGACATTGTTCATTGTAGCCATAAGGAAGTACGGAAGTCAAACCACAAGTGTTTCAAAGACAAGTGTAGCTTTCGTTTTTATCGTAGATCTCATATAGCGGGCACCGGTTACACACCATACTTTCTAACTTAACTTATGTCATTGACATTGCATAAAAATAATTATCATAGAAAAGTCATAGCAAAAAGTTTTTATTGAAAAAAGTTATAGGGACATAAAAAAAGTAAAGCAAAAGAACTAAAGTTGCTAGTTGCTATAAGGGTAGAATTTTAAAGCAACCTCTTTTTTAATTACAATACTTATTAAAAAGCGATTTTACTTTTCGCAGTATATGTCCTTTATAAATAAAATTTGATTTTTAAGGTAGGTTTTACATTTATGTTTTTGTAGAAATATTTTTATTTGTCAATATTTTTATCACTGTTATGACATTTAGTTAGATTTCCGAACGTTAATTGACTACAACTAAAAATATTGCGGGTAGAACACAATTCGTTTTGACATTTCAAATAGTGTAATGTTTAGTTTTGTGAAAAGTGACATTGAACGATGTTTTGGTGTTCATAATAAGGTAATTTTGCATTTTTATTCTTTTACAAAATTTATGGTGAAGATTATGCAATATATTCCTGTAAAAGTATAACAACCAATTTTAATTACGTTAGCTTCATTATATCAAGCTAAGGGTACCTACATAATTACTAGAGACAGACCATATATTTCTGTGTTCTATTTGATTTTGTATGAGATAATTTTGTATCACTCGTAAAAGCATACCAACATTTTTGGTACGGTTTTCGTAAGTTGTCATGATTAATTTGAAGATTGTGAACATAGTCTGTCTTGTTTTCCTTGCCCTGTTACTAAGAGTAGTGCGGTTGGTTTCAGATATCCTTGAGATGCAGTAAGCAACACGTAAGCCTCGACATTCGCAATGTCAACCTTCCACTTTCACATGACCTGACAGTAAGCTTGTTTTTTTTCTTACGTGCTTTATAAACTGCCAGAACTATTTAGGTTGTGGTTAAGTAACAACAGATATTTTTCTTAAAAGAAATATCTTTAATAGTTATCAAATGGAAATCTTCGATTATTGCATACTAGCTGTCTCCCGCGACTCCGTTTGCGTGGAATTAAAAAAAAACTTAATAGTAATAATTTAGTAGGCTATGTGTTCTTCCAGACTCTTTTCTACGACTATGCCAAATTTCAGCGAGATCCGTTAAGCCGTTCCGGAAATAAATTCAAACAAACAACCATCCATCCATCTAAACATTCGCATTTATATTAGTAAGATATTTTAAGAAGAAACAGTATATTAAGTTTTTATTTGTTTATTTCCACATAAGAATTTCAGTTAAGAGTTTAAGATTTAAATAATGTTATTTAAATCTTAAATTTATATAATTATATTATAGTACAGATAAGTATCATTTTGAAATATCACAACCATATAACGTACCGATGCTTTTAAATAAAATAAAAAAATCATGTATCATGAAATTTTGGAAATGTTCTTATCAATTTAAAGACACGCTGTATCATGTTACTTCGACATTTAACCTTGTACATAATGATTACCCTTTTAAATTATCTATTACAGTCACGTTCCACGAAACAATTTTATGCACTTTCATTTCTAAGCTTGTTACATGTATTATTTTTTATTAGTGCGGGTTTTCACTGTCGAACAAAATACATATTAAACTTAAAAAAACTTAGATTATGTTTTTGAGGCAGTATAATTTTACTGTTAGTGTGTTGTTTAATTTTTCTAAGAAACATCTTATAATTAAAGGCTCGTCCATCGTAATTAATTCAAGCTATCAATTCACTTTATAATTTAGGATACACACAGAAGGTTATGTTCATATTAAGTCAATTAGAACATTTGAATTAAGATTAATGAGAATTTTACTGATTTGACAGTCTGACATCGTTTCTAGAATTTTTCATATATAAACTAATAAACAGTTTAATGCAATCATCAAAAATATTATATAAGATTGTCTAAGCGTAATTCGATGACATTACGTTAGAAGGCGCCAATAAAAAAGAAAATTATACTGGCATGTAGTGGCGCCGTGAGATTTTATTTCTTTATTATATCAAGCAGTCTTTTGTTATTTTTCAGTAGAATCAAGAGTGAGTTTTAACAATGAGCGGAGAAAATCGTTGTCCTTAAATTACTTATACTTCTTATATCGTAGTATTTTGTATATGTTTTGTGCAAAGTTATAATTAAAATTCAATAATAAACATTTTAAGAGAAGAGTGTGCTTTTATTTTGAACAGGATGAAAAATTAAATACATTTTTACATTGTATAATGAGACGTATCATACGCATTTTAGACAATTTAATTGTATATTTGACCTTAAATGTCAGATTAATGCTTTAGTCAAATAATATTAAATGATCAACTAAACTGAATGGAAATTAAGAGATTTATTATAAGAACATCGTTCATTTAGACCAGTGGTTCCCAAAGTTATTTTGTCTACTGCCCACTTTGAGAATAAATATTTTTTTAGCGCCCCCATATTTTCACATATTTAAAAACCACTATAACTTCAAATTAAATTAATTAATTATTGTGACCTATATATGTATATTAACGGAGAATTTTAAACGAAACTTTTACTATTACCCACAACTTGAGACCTGCAGCGCCCACAAGGGGCGTTATCGCCCACTTTGGGAAAGACTGACTTAGACCAAACAAATCTTGTATAGACTACTCTAGAAAACAAGTCTTAAACAATTTAGATGAAATTTTCTATTTAGATATGGTTTTTATAATATTTAATTATTTGTCTATATTAATATCTTGTCTATAAAACTCGAATTTCTACAAACAAAAAATAAAACTAATTATACCTCTAGCTGAGAACGTTAAACAAATTTGATCCGTAGTTACAAATTAATTTGTCTCTGAAAACCTACATTGCTTTATTTTTTAATGAAGTATTTTTACGTCAAAACGTTACGTAAACATATGAAATGTTATAGTCAAAGTCTTTTTTTAATTTGTCTGACAATTAAATAGTTAAAATGAAAATAAAATTGATTAAGTTAATTATCTCTTTCTTAATTTAGATAAAAGTGCGGACTCTAAACGAAATAATTCGTTTTGTTGTCACTTTCTTATTTCGAGGTTTTCATTTCGTTAGCTTAGTTGACCTAAGTGTTTAAATGCAATAATTATAAAGAGTTGAAGATTTTAAAATATGTTTATTTAGAGATAGTGTAGTAGCAAAAGTGTTGGAAGAAAGAAATTAAAAAATACGTATTATTAAGCAAAGACTAAACTATGTATTTTTAATAAAGTAATTATTTTTTATTTCATTCAGATAGAATAATTCAAGTCAGTGAAAATATAATGTATTCTGCAGATTGACCAAGTGTCATTAGCCCCCACGGAAAGGATTTATTAAAAAAAAGCATTAAAGCTAGGAACTCGTCAATATGACCTCACGAGCCGGATTCACAGACGACCTTTGATTGTCGGGTGAGATCCTGCACGTAATTCGTGTAAACATAACTCGACGTGTCTCGCTTCGCGTAACGTCGGTGAAGAAAAAAACACGTTGTTTAATGGCATAATAAGACACTCGCTTGCTTTGTGTCCTTCTTTCTTTAATGTTTATTAAAAAAACATGCTTAAGAGATTTATAAGGATGCTAATAACGTAACTAATAAGGGTACACGAATATGGGTCCGATTGAAATTCGACGAATAATTAAAAAATCGAATAATCCGGAAAAATTCTATAATTCGCGAATTTTGGTATTAATACCAAAAGTGTTTCTCGAAACGTTGAGTTAAAGAGATTAATCGAATGATTTTTATATTAGGGATGTGCAAATATCGTCCGAATATTAATATTCAATTCGATACGAATAATTTATAAGTTCGAATTATTCGCACACTTGTAATTAATACACCATTAATGCCCGTAACCTAGAGGAGTAGGTAGACATTCAAATTAAATGAAATCAGAATTTTTAATTACATGTAGTTGGACCAATGTATTACATCTCAAACATTTGGTTACTAATAAGGAAAGTAATAAGATTCGTTACACGCGTACGCTATTCATTTATATGCGTACTTTCCATTTCACGTAAATATTAAAATTGTTGAAAAATGCAAAACGACGATATAACAACTACATTTCTACGAATTAAGATAGAACGACTTTGAGAGCGCTGGAATTAATACGAGAGTTTTTAATTGCCATCTCGACATACATAAAGATAAAATATTAATTTAATAACTGATATTTCTTAATTTGTTATCTTATCTTACTAATATTATAAATTTGAATGTTTGGATGGAGAGAGATGTTTGTTAAAAGGTATGTCCAGAATAGCTGCATGGATCTCGCTGAAATTTGTCATAGATGTAGAACATGAGCTAGAAGAACAAATAGGCACAATTAGGTTATTTTTTAATTACGCGCAGACGGAGTTGTGGGCGACAGCTAGTTAACAATAAAATGAAGCAATAACCTACAGAGTAAAAAAATAACCATGTATCTCATACTTTCTCTCTGTTGTTTTTGTTAAATTTATTTTTACCAAAAATTTTTAAAGACTTATTATAATTATAATTTTTAAAACAAGGACTAACAACTAACATGCGTTATTTTTGTGTATTGTTTAATTTATAACTAAATTTTATTTTTATCACACGCCAGTATTTCCGCACATGCATTTTATGCGAATCGTGACGTAAGGATTTGTTGATGCGGGCGTTAGCAAACATTCGATTCTCAGTGTGTTAGCTGACGATCTGGAAATTTCAAAACTATGTTGCGCATTTACTATAAATTTTCTTATAAAATAAGAACTCTAGAAATTAGTGAGAAGGCAGTATTTGTCAAGATCGCATTTAGAAAGTCTACGCATATTTTAAGTCTAAGCATGATTTCTGGTAATGGCGCAAGCCCTCGTGCTTGGACTTCACGTGAGCAGGATAAGGTCTGGGAGATGATGCTTTTTGTTAATGCCTAAAATGTTCCAACTCGGTGTTCCATTACTCGTTTGCCCCCTTCTCTTATAAAAAAGAAACATCAGCGATAAAATGGCTTACGTATAATTAGCATAAAAATTTAATTAAGTAACTGTCTAAGATTTTATAAGACCCAAAGAATTTAAACGTTGTTATTTATCTATATCATTCATGAATTATCGTATCGTATGTAACTATGTTATTGTACAGTTTATATCGGTTAAAGTTGTAAGCCTTGATGACGATACTTGTATCCTATAGTTATAAAAAGTTGCCTTACGTATACATTGTCGTCCTCGCGGATCTCAAAGCGGATGACACCTACGGACTATTTAAATCCTTCATTGATGTGTAGCATGTGTTTAGACGTTTTTATACGACTGATAGTTTAGGTGCTAGGATCGCTTGTAACTTTTATGACACTTATTATTTTTTATTAGCTGACCTAAAGTAAAATTAATGTCAGCCAAAATATTTAAATTGGTATCAAATATGTGCCAGCATAAAGTTTATTGGATTTCATAAACTTTTTATACTCTGTAAAAATTTCATAAACAATGTTCAGTGGTTCATAATCAAAAGAGACAAACATGAATTATAATTAATTTAATAAGAAGATTAAATATAATAAAAAGTTTGAAATAATGTTTCGATTTACACAAAATTGTAATTACAAAAAAGTCCTGTTTAGGAATATTTCTTGCATCCAAGTACTGTAACTTCGTAACCACAATTAATATTAGATTAAGTTAAATTCAATCATTTTACCCTGTTGTAAATGTTACGAGCTAACAAACTGGTATGCAGCAACACTTACTCGACATCGTAATTATCATTTATGTTCTCTTGCAATATTTCCATTGCTGATTATTTAAATTTACCCATATAAATTATTTTATATTTATTATCCCCTCATCCTCAACACGCACTTACAGTAATATACCACAAACT